AGGAGAGGTCCCAAGTAAGCACTTGGCACAGCAGGACCTTGCGTCCTGTTGGACTCTAGAACTCTGGCACGTCTTTGCTTTCCATCTCTAGGTCCTCCCCCCCCCTTCTCTCTTTTGTTTTTCCCTGGCCCTCCTGCAGCATTTTTATTGGCACCGGTCTGTCTCTTTTGAATTTCCATTTCTTATACAACACACATCCCACAGTCAGTTGCAAGCTATGTGTGAGTAAAGGCGCCTAACTGGCAGTAGGTATCCCTTTTCCTGGAATCCTGCCCTCTTTTTTGTGAAAATTGAATAAACTGTGGTTGTGACAGCAGACCAGGACAAGGAGCACCCGACATAGTATGATCGGCCCCATCACCTGTAGCGGTGGGCCCTCAGGACTGCCTCTGTTTTGTTTCCTTGTGTGCTTCCATGTATCTGACGCGGATGTATTCTCCTGTAGGATGAGAGTCTCTGATGCAGGAATGCCACGAAAGCACCAGATGGGTTCTACTCACGCCACATTCTCTCGCCTGACTGTACAAATCAACGGGCCGATCACCCTAGTTTCCATCTTGCAACGCGACAGCGCCAATATCACTCTGCATACTACTGCGTTGCGCGAGCCCCGTCGCGTCCACACGAAACCGCGCAGCTCTCTCCCACCCGCGTCATGCGACCACACCGGAAAGAGAGGAAGACTGTCAACCTACATGAGGATGTGTAAGTGGAATGCACTGTCACGCGCTTCTGTATAACAACCAAGGAGGACTGTCCATTGCGACCATTGAGACCAACAGAACAATATAACAGACGCTCCCAAGATCCTGTTACAGCAGATCTCACCCTCTCAGCGCTACCTACACACACAATATCACGCTATAAGGAGACGGCGACACTAGTTTCATCTATTGTTCCTATAGTGTTGAAAGCGCGTTACTAGTGAGACGCGGGCATGCCCGACAGGAGTCACCTCTCCGGTCGGTCCGGGGCTGGAGAGGTGTGCAAACACAAAGACAGACACATGCACAGTCGCATGTTCACACTAACAAACAGATTTACACACCAGTTTATCAAGTGAACGCTCCCAACTAGAAGACTGGCCAGCACAATATGGACACAAGCACATATTGGTTTTGGAGAGTCTCGGAATGCGTCGTAATTCTACAGCAGACCACTACACATTGAGATCAATAGATGGGAGACTAATGAGTTTTGGGCGTTTACTATCCGAACGAATAAGATCAGAAAGGCTATCCATCAGAACACTAGGCAAGAGAATAATTTGGATGCCCCATAGTCCAAGATCACATTTTGACTAAATGACTGCTCAGCCTGCATACTTCAGCTCTATACGATCAGTGACGACACCGAATCAAACTGATGGCGGGAACCAACACTACCCGTATTATTTTCATGTATTGCGTGCTAGAAATCAAGACTCGACAGTTAAATCACCCCGACCATATAAACCGCTCATCAAACACAAGAATCAAGCGACACCAGTTCCTCTCTCCAGCTTCCTCATCCACACACTGTCTCCATCCCTTATCTTGGACATTTTCCTTCTCCCTCTACATTATTATACTTGTCCTCGCCTGCACCTTCCTGTCCGCGGACCCCACATCCCCAAATATCATGTAACATGAGATCTCCGTTTGCACTCAGTCCGCACGAGGTTACTGTTCATGACAAGGAATTTATCACTACCTGCTACAACTTTGACGTAACCATTTTTCCCAGCTCCAAACCAATTGTTACTGAATTAACGGACCCTATAGCTGTAACGTAAGTAAGTATGCTCCAGCTGATTCCACACAGCAGCCCCGGACCCCCAACCCTGTCGTTTCTCCTTCCTGCGGCTAACAGTCACAGATAGACGAGAAATGAAATAAAAACCCATTTCCCAGAGAAGCCTCCCTGCAGGAATGGCCCTGCTTCACCCACCGCATCCTTTTCCACACACAGAGAAGACCAATGTCACCCACCCAGACTAACAAAATAGCCTCCCCACCCCTAAAAAGACAAAGAGGCAGGAGGAGAGCCAGCGCATGACAGAAAATGTGATGTAAGAGATATTCTCGGCGCTGATATTGCGACCCCCATGCGAACAGGCAGCTGATGGAAGGACGTAGAGAGTGGAGAAGATGCAAGAGGTTTGTGAAGTTCACCGCAGGAAGGGCCCATTTTGGGTTAGTGGGAACGCGAAAAACGGTCTCCTGCGAAGCTGTGAGTGTGTAGTGTCTGTGCTGAATTACGTATGGTGAGAGACACATGGTTATGGCTATGGATGCCTATTACATTGGTGCAGTGAATGTGAAAGACCAGGAAGGCGTAGATTCGGGCCATTTACGTAAAGTTCTCTTCATTGTACTTCCAGTAATTTTCGTTGCATGTGTTATAAATGAAATGTGTTTTAGGTTGACTTTTAAAATTCTGTCGCAGGGACACAGATGAAAAAATAGCCTGCTTGGCTAACTCTGGCACATTTATACAGAAATGGTAATTAAGGTGCACTGTCCCTTGTAAATACAGGAATACATAATGTAGAAGTAAGCCCGTTATGAGCCCCCAATCCCTGTAGTGGCAGAGCAGGAATTACTGACCCGCAATTCACAGAGCAAGAACATAATGCACTGATTCAGTTGATTAACGAAACTAAAAGAGGGGAGCAGGGAAGCTGGAGTGGGTTGGAGGCCGGGGCCTGCGGAACCAGCATGCAGCCGCAAACCTTGATCGTATACGGGTTTGGAGAAGGAATGGCAGCAAACTGTCGTAGTCTCAAAGCTTCTGTGACGACCAGGGACTAAGAAGATAGCAAACGGGAATGAGTGCAGAGGCGATGGGAGAGGAGAACAAGGACAGGAGGAGGCAGGACAAAGATAAGGAAGAGAGGAGAAAGAAAAAGTCACGAGGAGAGGAAAGGGATGAAGGAAATAGAAAGGGGGGAGGCAGAGAGGCTAATGGGTGACTTTAAGACAGCCAGCTGTGCAACATGAAGGGAAGTGTGTTCTCCAGGTCGATTGCTAGAAAGAGCAATGAGCAAGAGGTGGATTAAGCAAGATGTGATTTGATGGCAAATCTACTCTCCCCAGCTTGTCAAGACAATCAATCTTATTCCGTTTCAATCCCAAATAAAGTTTCCTTAATATTAAGACGAAGACTCACGCTACAGCTCGTCAAATATCGATGATCAAGGATCTGCAAGGTTCGCTTAAAAGAAATATTCACCTTTGAAAATCCCCTGTAAAGAAAAATTATGAAAAAAGATGAGGCTTACCCCCCAGCCCGACCCGAGAGGCCTCGGGCACTGCGAGCTCTGCCAGAAGAGAGAAAACAGGAAAGAAAAGTGAGAACAGGCCTTACAGCTTATTTGTAGGTAAAGTGGGATAGGATATGTCATATATGTTTTTAAAACCAAAAGTTATTCAGTGGTTCACACAAGGCCAGCAACTCTTAGCCTTACCATCAGGTGTGGAGAGGTGTCGGGCGAGGGTGACTCGTCAGCTGTCGAGTGCCCACGCTCTTTCCGTCGCGAGACTTGGGCGAATTGAACCATCTGTGTGCTTCAGTGCATACCTGCTCCAGGAGACTCATCCTACAGGAGAAACAACCAAGCGCAGATACATGGAAGCAGAACACAAGGAAACAAACCACAGAGCAAGTCACTGAGGCCCAGCCAACCCTGCTACAAGGTGGGTGGGGGGCCGAGGGGGCGGTGGATGCCCGACTCACTTAACTAATGTCGGGTGCTTCCTGTCCGTCTGCGTCACAAACCAAACCCAGTTAATTCAATTTCACAAAAAAAAGAGGCAGCATTGCCAGGAAAAGGACTACCTACTTGCTAGCTGCCAGTAGGCCGACCCTTTACTCACACATAGCTGGAAAAAACTGACTGTGGAGTGGTAGTAAAAGAATGGAAAATCAAGAGAACTAGCAGGTGCAAATAAAAAGTGGCTGCAGGGAGGAGCAGAGAAACAAAAAGAGAGAGGGGGGGGGGGACCTAGAGATGGATAACAAGCAAAGAACGTGCAGAAGCTTCCTAGAGTCCACAGGAAAGTCAAGTCAACTGGCTGCTGCCCAGTGCTTACTTGACCTCTCCTAAAACCCGGCCTCTAGCAAAATAGCCCCAAAAGCCACCCCAGCACACCCCCACGATGCCGTGCGGCTGGCCCTGGGGGCTGGGGCCGAGGAGCAGACCTGAGCTGGAGGCTGCAGTAGGAAGAGAAGAGGCTGGGGGGCCTGGGTGGGTCCTCCGTCCCGGCCCTGAAGACGGTCCCTCAACTCTGGCCTGGGTAGAGCTCTTAGCCAGGTCCTGCTCATACGGCCTAACATCAATCTCTCTAGGCCGCAGGGCCTGGGCAGGGGGCCAGGGGGAGGGGGGGAGAGGAGGGAGGATAGAGGTGCACCAGGAGGGAGGAGGAATATGAGGAAGGAAAGAAAGGCATACAGACAGGAAAAGAGAAGAAAACCAAAGAATGGAAGGTAAAACACTGACACATTTAGACGGGCCACGAATAATATATAACCCATTTTTAGAAAGGAAAATAAATAGCCACACAGAGGACAGAACGAACTGTGGACTTATGTTTAGTTTGACTTCTGACAAACAGTTTCTTAAGAAATCAGGGACAAAGGGGTCACAAACCCTTTCATCAACACACTACGTGGGCTTGATGTTTTAGCCTTAGATTCACAACATTACAAAATAGCCCCTAATGTAAGGGTTCATACATTTTTTTAATAAAACGTTTAATCTTAACATAATATTTGGGATTTTTTCTCTTGTTTCAGATTAACTGCCTCCATCATAGGTCAAGGTTTAAGGTCCCAGAAAACAAACTTCCCACTCTAATAAACTCTGACTCACGCTTTATTCAAACTAGTGCGGAGCAAAAATCTAATGTATCTGTAGACAAGTGTAACATCACTTTGGTGAGAATAGATAAAGCCTGTTCAAAGACCTGATGATCCGGTACACGTTGTTAGTCAGAACGTGTTGTATGTGTTCTAATTACCGTGCTGCCCTCCACATGGCTCTCTTCTCGGCCTCCAGAGCTCGTTTCTCAGCAGGGGACAGGTCCTTGTCGGAGGCCACTGACAGCTCGGGGCTCTGCATACGGAGCCTCTCCTGGTGCCGCCGCTCTGCTTTGGCTGTGCGGATGGGGGCCGCAGAGTCCCCTGTGTACGCTGGGATCAGACTGGAGACACACAAGAGGACGTGAGGACAACGTGACAAAGACAGCAGCAAAGAGGCCTTTTAACATGTCGAGTGTGATGTAATTACCCAGTCATGGAGTTGGGTCTCTGCTCCATCCTGAAGCTGTCCTCTAGTGAGTTCCTCTGAGAATCTCCTTTACCATCAACAGAAGAAGGCCTGCATACAAAAACACCATTAGCTAAAGAAAGAATAAACACATCTAACGTCAAAATAATAATATCCCACTTCCTACCCTGAGCTGCCACAGTAGCTGGGCGGCGTGACGTTGTAGCAGGGTGGGGTAGCGCAGTGCTGGGTGGGGGTGGACACTGGCTCCACGTTGTACTCCACTCCGTCCAGCAACACCTTGCCGGTGGCCTTCATCTGCGCCACCTGCTTCGCCAGATCCTCCTCCTCGTCCTCCTCGTCTTCATCCATCAGGTACTCCCGCGCCCGCTGCTCAAACTTCCTCTCTGTAAGAGACGCAGAAGTATGAATTCCAATGACAGGTGAGCAGGGTTTCTTCTGTTCATTTTTGGCAGGGAGTGTTCAAGGAGAAACAGGAGGAACAAACCTTCTTCTTCCCTCATTTTCTTAAGGTCATCTTCTCCAACAAGAGACACTCGAGGTTTGGGTTTTTCTGGTGTCTGCTGCTTCACGTCAATCTCAAAATACTTCTGTCTGTCCCTGAAGGAGCGCTGCTCCGGGCTGCCCCGACCACCAGGAGAGGGACTCTGGAAGAAAGATCAAGGACATCATATTTATGAATAAGATTGAATTTGATGAGTCCTGTTGTCATGGCACCTTCAATCTTTAGATAGAACAATGAGATGAAGACCAGTGTTTGCTGCTAATGATTTTATTGCTATTAGCATTGTTGCCCAGCCATCAAAGAGGATATCACAATAGATGCCAGAGGAAAAAGTATCATTGACCAAGAAGAAGGAAACAAATTAGCCATTTAAACAGAACCCAGCACCATGAGCCGATTTACAATCAATTAACTGGCAGTCCCATCATTGAAACAACATGGCTGCCTCCCACAGTCTGAGAGCAGAGACACCACCACCGATGGAGCCAAGCACAGCCGGACAGAGAACAGGCTGCAGCAGGGGGGGGCGGTGGGTACCTGCAGGTCCCAGGACGGCCTGGAGAGGCGAGGCACTGCGGCCAGGCTCAGATACTCCCGCCGGTCAGGAGAGAGGTGGGGCCTGGGGGAGCCGTGGCGGCTCAGACCAGCCCCCTCCTGACCGTCTATGACATCATCAAACACCTCGTTCATCAACTCAGGCTGAAAAGGCCACAGAGGTCGTCACCACACTGTGACGCTGAGTAACTACAGGAGGCTTCAGCTGATCCACACATTCTTTGATATTTTTTTCTCACAGCTGCCTATTTATTATTTTCATTACACTAGCCTAGTTTCTGCTACTGGGTGAACCTGAAAACAAACTTTTAAAAACACCCTACAAATGGTCTTGAAAAACAACACAAAGTCTACAAACCTGATCTTTCCAACTGTCTTTGAATATATTACAAGCTCCACCATTTCATACAGTTAAGAAATGAATGATAGGACCACAGACAGCTGTTCTTTTAAACTGGTTTTGTGTGATGTGTTCACTCACCTCTGGAGAAGGTTCCTTGGGGTGGTAATTGTTCCTGACACCATACTGGTCCTATTGGGCAAAACAGGATGTTAGTAAATTGAAGTTAACTCAGACTGAGGCCACACACGGAGATACAGAGCAGGCAGACTGTAAATACAGAAGGGGGGGGGGGGGGGGTTGAATATTAGTACACGAGCCACACATGGAAGAATGGATGAAGACTGGACACCAGCATGACAGATGATGGCACTGGAGTACAAAAACCCACGATGAGCGCATTCCACACGTCACAGCACGTCACAGGCCCCCCGACACAGTGCAGGACAAACTGCTCCAGTCAGGAGGGGGCGGGGGGGCGAGATCAACCAATCAGCATGCTTTTTGTGGTTTTGACCCGGGGGGGGAGTCCGGGCAGCACGGCCTACCTGGGGGGGCTCCAGCACTGCCAGTGAGCGAGGCACGGCGGCAAACGCCTTGTATGCCTGCTTCACATTCATGGGGAACTCGTCGGGCGAGGTGGGGGAGGGGGCGCGAGGCTGCAGGGGGGAGGTTTGGGTGGGGTCATGGAAGGTGGGGAAGGTTCATATGGTAAAAGAAGAGGAGGTGGGGAGGACGGACAGACAGAGACATGGAGGAGAGGGAAGACTATGAAAAAAAACCAGCTGACTGAGGAGGAGAAAAGGTGACAGCATGGCAGCTGGTTTCATGAGACAGAGGAGGGGAGTATGCCAGAGCAACACACACAGTCGGGCTTGGAAAATCCAGAGCCATGACAGACTTATTTGTATGAGAACCTTTATGAAACAAACAGGAAGATATGAGATGAAATCGTAGCTCCTTCATTATTTACCGATCCAGCTGTGCTGCTTGCCAAAGCTAGAAATAACATTTGAGAGAGCAGTTATTACGAGAAATGATTCAGGAGCTCAGAGGTGAGCTGGGTGCTCTGATTCTCAGGTGGAGGAGGTCTGCACCTGCACAGACTTATCTATCCTGCACAGACTTATTCATTTCGGTCACCCTTTCTTTGGTTCTAGCTTCTTTGGAAACAAAATCATTCTGGTGCCACAGTTATCTGCATCTCTGCTACGAGTGTTTATGAGCAGTGTGCAGTCAGAGGCACAGAGCTGAGAGTGGAGAGAACACAGCACTATGTGGTGGTGAGGGGCCTTACAGAGGTCTGGGAGTTGAAGGGGGAGGGGCCATGCTGGAAGGGGTTAGGACTGTGGCCCTCCGGTGTGCCAGGGGAGGGGCTCTGCCGCATTCGCCCCACTGGCTGGATGGCACCCGGTCGTGTCTGGAGAGAGAAAACAAATGATATTTAAGAGGGATCACTGAAGTCAATATAGACTCAAATGAAACCTTTGCATGTACAAATATGAAATAACATCATTATAACACTTTCACTTAAACCAAACTTTACTTTTATGAATGACAAATCAAAGTGAATGGAACCCATGCTGGATATGAAACAGAGCCTATTTTACCAATAGGATTGTTTATGGTGTTTTCCTTGTCTTTATCACATCTTTGTTTTTATCTTTACAATCTCAAGTATTGTTTTGTTTTAATACAGAGGATTACAGGCTCCAAGGCTCCCTGCAGAAAGGTACTATTAGATGGAAAACATTTGTGTAGCATAAGAAATAAAAACTCCTCTTTTTGCTTTTGGGTTGGAGCTGTTTGAGATTCTAATATTGTAACAGTTTAAAATGAATAGAAAACTAAATACACAAACAAAGGGAACCTATAAACAAGTTGTATTTAATGAGATTATATTAATATATTTGTAAACTGGTGTGATGATCTATCTCTACAATGCACTTCAAACTCACTGAAGATGGAGAGTTCTCGATAGCAGTTGGAGTTGAAGTGTAATGAAGGTTTGCCTGTAAAAGAACATTTGAAAATATACTTGAGTCCTAACAGACAGTTACCAAATGTTCACTATTGGAAGATGCCAGGCCAAATATAGAGACTATCAGACAATGCAACACAGGCAGGGTTTACCTTCAGTATAGTATTTATTCTACTCTTAAAACGAAGAACAGTGTCTTGTTATTGTCCTATGAAGCTGGAGGAGGAGTCACATGCTTTTCTGGAAGGGCAGTAGCAGACACGATAGCCAAGCTAGTTGTTTTTCTAACAGCTGACGCATGTGCTAAAAAAAAAGGTTTAACAATCAAGGCCAGAGCAGAGAGGGCCACGAGACCCACTTACAAAGCGGGTCTCCCTGCCTCCACACAGGGAGCTGCTGGAGGAGTGGTGGCTGGGCTACGAGTGGAAGGACAGGTCAATACGGTCAACTGGGAAATGCATCTTCTATAGGGGTAACAATGACTCATGGAAAAGGATCAAATAAAGGAAAAATATGGCAGGAGGATGGTGGAGGAGGGCTGGGTGTGCATGCTGCTCACCGGTTGGATGGTGGGGGAGTAGGGGGCGTCTCTGATTGGGCTCTCCGTCCTGTTGAAGTCAGAAGGAGGCGCCTGGAAAAACAAAGATCAAACAGACATAGACTTAGTAACTGCTCTCCCTCTCACTCAGACAAACAGAGTGGTAAAGAAATACAAGGTTCACTGGTTAGTCCTGTAGAGAAGTGCTCTTAGAGTCAAATCAGCCGTAAACTGTTGCCGTTGAACATGCACTTTTCTGTGCAGCTTGCAGATCAGTTCCTCTGTGACCTATGACCTCCCTGGCAGCTGCTGGGACACACATTCCAGCCGGTCCGGACTATGCGCCGACTATATTCCCAAATACCTGACGAGATGCCACCAGCTCAGGGCTCACAGCAAAAATGCACCAGTTCAGCTGGTACAGTAATCCCCCTCTGCAATGAATCAGTAAAGCTACAGTATAAACCAAAGTGTAGGGATTTATTATATCCATTGGGGCCAAAATCGTTTTAGATGTACATTTCCATTTCTCAGCACCCTAGAAGATGTATGCAATCATGCAATAACTGATATTTTTGGCCCCGATAAATGGCATTTGATTTATTGTCATAATGGAAGTATTTATTAAACTCCTTTTTTTCCAACAATAGCCCAAATCTAGGATTGTTACAATTCTACTTCCCCCCTATTGTTTTTTGCTCACAAAATGGTACTTTGGACACATGCCAACCAAAAAACAGCAAAGGGTATTCCTTTGGGTTTAATTGACACGGCTTTTAAAAAAGTTCCACAAATGTTGTTGGAACTGTTTGATCCGTTTCAAGGGACACGAGTGAGCCAAACCACAAACAGTGCGCAGGAACACACCATGCTGCCTCCAAACCACACTCAGGCAGGCGGCTTGCCTTGCTGAACAGCCAGGGCTTCAGCTGGCCCTGCTTCCCGTAGCCCACCGGGGGTCCCGACAGGATCTGTTGTCCAGGAGGACGGCCCTTTCCTTTGCGATTGGCCACCAAGAAAGGGTTCTCTTTGAAGCAGATGGGCTGAGAGTCCACCAGGTTCTCCTCTTCTCCTTCTTCTTCTTCTGGTGCAAATGTTGATGAGTTAATGGTTGTTGATGAGCCAGCACTGTCAGTAATGGAGGTCCCATTGGGGGAGAACTGAGATTCATGGAGATGTTCCATGTTCAGGCTGGAGAAGGGCTCGGGGTCCGTGTGCTCCAGGGGATTTGTGGGGTTGCCTAAGCCGAAGCCCAGGGGCTCTAAAGGAGCTCCGTACTGGCCCTGCAGGGGAGCCTCCATGGGAGCAGTCAGACTGACAGAGGGAGAGAACTGGACAGGAGCAGAGAGGGAGGACAGTAAAGTCACACTGACAGAAGGATTGAAAGGAAAACTGCACTCACTCAGACAGAAACACACAAAGGTTATTATCGCTAGAAGGATTTAAAGAAAGAAAAGAAAAATCGGTTTGAATATAGAAAAACAATATAGAGGAGGAACGGAAAAGGCGAGTTCCTACAAAGATATTAAATGATAAACCGTACAATTTGTATCTTATTTTCATTTAGGTTTGGCCATTTATCTTTTATGACATTGCTACAACAGAAGAAAAAACTTAAATGCTGATTTTCATCAATATTAAAATGTTATTTGAAGGTGAAACCTGTGTGATATAATGTCTGGTCCGCCCACGTTAATCTGTTCTTGAACAGGAAATGTGTGCGTCAGGACAGTAGGTCAAAGATAAAACAGGAAGTTAGCCTGTAAACTATAACGGATGTTAAAAACACACTGTGTTGTTATTGTACCGTCTGATCTGCTGATGTGATTTTTATTTAGTTTGGCTTATTTTCATAAAGTTTCCCGTTCATAGAATTCATGCAACTTGAGTACAACGTTTTTCTAACAGTTAACCAAACCTACTGAAACCAGAGCCAGCTTGTAATAAAACTAGAGTACTCCTTTAAGAGCAGTTGGGAATATGGCAATTAAAGTAGATCTACTAGGGGAAGCGTGTTGTACCCTAATGCAGAGGTCTTCAACAGGGTGTCCGCGACCCCCAGGGGGTCCGCGGAGGTACTGCAGGGGGGTTGCGAAATCTTTGGTTGATTAGACAAATTTTTTATTTTTCTTTCAAAAAAAAAAGTTTTCCAAAAATTTTTTCCCACAAATTGAAATGTCTTTAAATGCACATTAACATGAATCCAACATATTGTAGCGAATGGAGAAATCGAGGCAGAAGACGTTATCTTCTGCTCCACAACCTTTCTCCGCCAGATCGTCAACTATGAGCCGTATCTCGCGTCTCCCCTCCGGTACACAGCACCGTAGTGTGGAGTTGCATTAGGTAACGCGAGATACGGCTGATACTTGCGCATTAGTTTCTGTTATGGATCAGTATCAACAGTCCTGCCAGTGAGACCGGCCGCTCTCCCCCATGTTACGTCACACGCGGGAGGTCATGTGCGGAGGCTTTTTTATGCGGAAGTGAAAATGTCTTACCAAAACGACGCCAGATGTCACTGTCGTGTATATTTCTGTATATTTTTTTGAAAATCTAGTGTATTCATCATTTTCCTACACATTTATTCACTGGTGTCTCTAACCTGCAAGTTGCTCTTTAAAGTTAAAACTTGAATCTGTGAATTATTTTAATAGCTCTGTGTTGTGTTCAAGATGTATGTTTAGAAATGGCAGTGGCACGGCCGCCCTGTACCTTGCACATGTTTAAAATAAAAACATGAATATATTAACCTGTGTATTATTTGAATAGCTTAGTATTGAATGTACAATAACAGAGTAGCTATGTTTATACACGGCACTAGGCCCCGTTTAATATAAAACAAAATTGTATGCCATACATATAGTAGGGGGGTCCCTGCTCCAGCTCTCCATCAGTTTAGGGGTCCCTGGCCTGAAAAACGTTGAAGACCCCTGCCCTAATGAATTAAGCCATTGTCAACCAAAACAAAAACAAAAACAAAACAAGAACAGATTTGGCAACAAAAAAATAGAACATATAACAAACCACCAAATCAAATCTGGCATAAGAGAAGAGGAGTCATTCCCCTGCCTCATGACGCCCTTCTAAAAATAATAGACAAACAAGTCTGTAGCTACTTAAAGAGTTAGTCACCCCACTAAATCTTCCCTGAAGCCTAAATCATAAATTACTCGTCTTTCAGGACTTGTTAACTGCTGCTGAATGCCACTGGAGTACAGCCTCTTAGCCTTTGCCTTAAATAACCATAGTATCTGATCAGAGGGAGAGTCAGGCTCCAGCACACCTTCCACTCCTACTGTACTCCTACTGTACTGAACGTAGAGGACGGGTGACGTGGTTGAAGGGAAAAAGTATGAAATGTTTAACCTAACCCCTGTAAAGAAACCTGATACCATAAGCACAACCAAAGAAGTTTCATGTTTTCATGAACGACCAAAAATATCTTCTAAAAAGCTTCAAGATAACTTTGATTTATCAGGTGTGACCTTGAGATATCTGCTGACAATCAAAATAGCCGCGCTAAAAATACAACGCGCATTGTGAGCATTGTAATGTGGCTCCCTACATGCTGACTATAAGAGTCTGTGGTGTGATGAGGGTCAGTGCGATGGAATGTGAATGAGTGCCCTTTTGGCTCCGACTCAGACTGCGAGGGACAGCTGGGCTTCAGAGAGGAGAGGCTGCCATGCTGGGAACCAGGAACTGAACCCTTTACCTCCACACTGTACTACAGTATAGTGATAGCTGAGTACATGAACATCTATTCTTTTTTTTTTTAAATAGAAAACTGTTTTTACCAATAGTTTTCACCTCATCTGCGCCTAAAAAAACTCATTGTTTTATTTGAATGATTACATTTTCAAATGTCCTTACGGGGACAATAAAGTATATCGTAATTTTCTAGATTCCTCTCTTTCTTTTGGATGTCTATTTCATAATGTCAGTCATTGAATGCCTGAATGTTCATTTCTCTCGATGAACGTTGGTAGACTGTAAACATCAACAACAATGACGGAAATAAATCCAACATTAACATTCTTGTAAGGGATTATACAATATTGTTTTTTTGTTTAAATATAATTACAATATTGTCAATAAACCAAAAGTTCCCTTCAAAATGAATGTATATTACTACATTCAATTCAGTCTTGACTCTTTCATGTCTACAAAAGCCAGCTCTGCAGCACATCATGCCTGACCCCTCACTTCCTATAAAAGTCACGGTAAACTTAAAAGTAAAAACCCACTTTGGCTTTATTCAAATTCCTAAACCACTTCTCAACCAGAACCAACTCTTAAGCCTTTGGTCACAACTTGCCGGCAGTAATGAAGGCTAACTGTGACACAGCGTGAGCAGTACCACGTGCACTGGAGCAGCAAATCCTGCTCTAACGCGGCGAGCATTAACAGCTGCAGATGAGATGTGCTTGAAGTTCTCCTGGACAATCTTACAGGCCAGAGCTGATAAAGTCCTGATAGCGTTCTATTTAAAGTTATGTGACTTAAATGGCAATAAAGATACAACAATCCCTAACCCCTTAACCAGTTGGGTGGATAACGAATAGTATCTAGGAGTAGGTAAGGAAAAAAGCGTTCTTATCCTTTTGGTGATCAGGTTTCAAAGAATTCTAAGCATGTCTTAAACCGAGTCAGTCATACAACCTTCCATTCTCACCACACACAAACTGGATCACAAAAACACAGGAAGAAAGAAGACAGAAGGAAAGAATAAACCTAAAAACAGCCAACTCTCGCCGGTTGAACATGTCTATACTCACGTTAGGATGGGAACAGGAGAGCGCAGTATGTCCACTCAAACTTACTTCGCTGATGGCTTTGGGAACTTTAACTGAAACACTTGTCAGTCCCTCTGTGAGGATCCCCTTCCTCACTGTCTAGCACTCCACCCACCCAAGAGACTCCGTCCAATACAGAGCCAGACAAGGTTTAAAATATCGCAGAGGATAGGCTGGCTGAGAGGGGGCAGCTGTCCCCTTCCCCCCCCCCCATGTCACCACCTCTTACACGTCCTTACCATAGACTGGTCCTTACACTTTGGTCATACTTCCTTTCAGGTCCATTTCAATCTGTTGATACTTTCTTTTGTCTGGGTCTTGATTCCTGGTCATCACATTGGTTTTTTTCAAACTTCTTAATCAGTCCTTGATCTTCATGACATTTCTTCAGTCCAGTTTGGTCCCATTTGCTCTTCTGCATTGATGTAGGACTCGTTTGCATCCTTCTGACGTGATAAGTTGTATGGTTTTGACCCCGGGGCCCTGTCAGTAATGTTGACATGGGGTTTTGCACATTCTCGCTCCTGGGGAGGTATCTAGGCGGCTCTAGGTAACTCTGTTACGTGGGTGTAAAAAACCCTGCAGGATTCCTCCGAGGGGTCTATTCTGATCCTTGAAGGCCATTTCCAACATAGCTCAATAGGGTTCCTAACAGTTAGTGTAAAAACCTGTGTATCTTGTACCGATGTTTGGAGACATTACAACATGAAGGGAGACTTACCCTGTTGAGCTTCTGCAGACTGGTGGTGGGCAGAGCCGCCAGGGTTTTGTAGTCAAGTTTCAAAGGTCCAGTGCCCATGTTCTGAAGAGAAATAAACAGTCATCATATGTGAGAGAGGGGGTGGGCTGAAGTTTATTACACAAGTGACTATTTTAGAAAATTGCTCAGCATTCTTTATAAAGAAATAATAGTTTTTGACAACTCAAGATTTTATATTTGTAGGGTAAACAAAGTAGGAACGGATGGGCTTAGGGCAGATTTCTTTCCCGTACGCTTTTTCCCTGGTAGTTACAGTACATAAGATTCAGGTATAACAGATCCACACTAGGTGGGTCAAATATTTAGTTAAAAACTTTTCTTCCCAATTTAGTCAGTCCCTAAACCTAATGTGCACTGTCGCTGCTATTGTATCTACATTAAATACAAAAAACATGTGTACCTATAGAGAGGAGTTATTAGAGGGTAATATACATTTAGTTTGATTGAATTCTCTCATCTAGCATCAACAACCAGCTGCCTTGTCAATCATAGTAACATCTACCAGCAAGTTAGAGTACTCTCGATAGAACTTTCTCAATTTAAATGAGTTACTTTTTTAAGGACATAGAGATTATTTTCTTTCAGTTTTCAAATATAAATAACATGTTAAAATCCTGTGGCAGTAGTGCTGTGGTATTTCTGATCAGACTTCCATGAAGGTTGTCTGCAGAGCTGCCGATGAGGAGTGTCTCACCTCAGTCTCCTCTTCTAGCAGGCGGTTTGCCTCCTCTCGCTCCAAGCGCATACGCTCCTTCACCAAGAAAGGAAGGGGAGGAGGAGGAGGAGGAGGAGGAGGAGGAGGAGAGTAGAGCAGGGAAGAGACCCAACCAACCATACACAGTGATGCGATGAGAGGTGAAATGGAAGAGTTACAGAAGAGGAAAGAAGTGTTTCAGTGGAGAGATGGAGGAAAAACAACAGTGGAGAGGTGGTATGGAGATGGGATGATCAAATCAAACACACGAATAGTAAAGGAGAGATAAAAACAGAAGGGAAAGAAAGGATAGAATCCGCACACATTAGAAAGTACTCTATTCATTAGCTACGGGAGCAGAAAAAAAAAGCATGCAAGTTGGGACATTGCAGGAATAGCTTTCAAACACATTACCACACAGGGTGCAGAGGAAAAGCTTCATTCACCCGGTAACAGACGAACTCTAAAAGCTCCACCCTACAGTACTGCACAGACTTCTGCATTTTCTATGGAGCAGGAACTGTCTTATCTTACCTTGCTGCATCGCTATCTATCTGCTGATCCGATACAATTTTCCCTTTCCCAAAACAGTCATGGGTTTTCAAAATCACTTACCACTTTCTCCATCTCTTCTCGCTCCCACTGTGATGTCTCTCTCACCATCTCAGACTCCTGGGGGAAAGCAACATTTCAGATCTTTACAATTGTAATAAGGTTGTCTTTTTTGATACAATTATATAAATGATTTCTGACTGTGTGTGCTCTACAAAAAATGATCAAGTGCGCAGAGGGACAGAAAGAAGCATTCTATAAACCAACAAGCCCCTACATTCCTTTGGTACGGGCAGACTACCAAAAGCTCATCTGAACAAAATAAAACAACTGTGTTGGCGCTTTCTGGGAGCTGCGGTGAAAAGATAGGTATGTGCCGTGTGCGTGGTTGGGGAGAGAGTCAAAGTCCACGGGTGTTAAAAAGTCCACCTGCTAACACCAAACTGCTGTGGAAGCAGTGTTGGTGGGACAGAACTGCTGTTCGAAACAGCTGATTCACGTGTTGACTTCCTGGTATGTGGAGGTACTGTGTTTCCCGACACTGTTTACTTCCCATATACTGGGATTTTGGGCTTTGTCTGACCATAACTTCACAGATAATGTTAAATTAGAAATTAAAAAGGGGCCCTATTATTATTATCAGATTGATATTTCTATGTGTGCTTCTACTGTGACATGTTTACATGCATAAACGTTCAAAAAGGTCTTTATTTTTCTCATATTGTGTGTGCTACAGCATCTCTTTTCACCCTCTGTCTAAAATGAGACCCCAGTCTGCTCTGATTGGTTAGTTGTCCAGCTCTGTTGTGATTGGTCAACCACTTATGGCGCATTTCCATTGCAGGGCCTCGCTCGGCTTAGTACGGTATAGTTAGGCCTTGTTGTTAGGACAGGCTCACTTATCCGTTTCCATTACAGTTTAGTAGCTGGGGCAGTAACTATAGTAACGCAGTGTAGGTGGAGCCGTGACGTCATCTTCAATGCGAACCACAGAAAAACAACATCAGCCGTTAGCTGTTAGCACTCAAGCTCACAGCTCCTCATATCTGTTCAGAAACTAGACAAAAGTTAAACAAGTACAAACCACAGACTGTCTGTGTCATGGTGAATACAGTCGCTGGTTTATTTATGTCTGTATAGGCCGTTGTTGTGAGTGTGGACGGTCGGAGCATATATTGCGTTAGCTTTTTTAGACAACACGCATTTTAAAAGGCTTTTCGCCTGCCGTCTGTCTGCAGACTTGTCAAAGCATTAATTCATGGTTTTTACTAACCGGTATCAGTATGTTGTTACTTCTGCATCATTTTGAAACGTGCATTACAATTAATTCAAGGTCAAATATGTTCATTTTGTTGTAGTTGTAGCCCCCTTGCCAGCGATTCTCTCTCTCTAGTTTAGCATACTCAGCCCGACTCAGCCTGGTTGTTGACTCGCTAAGAACCTCGATTTTATGGGGCCAGAAAAACTGTGAAATAGTACCCGCTAGCCGGTACTACGCCTAGTGGATTAAACCGCGCTGTGCGCTGTAATGGATATAGCCTTGATCTCTAGGTAGGCCTAAATACTTAGGTATATGCCAATACATGACAAATGTCACTATGCACGGCACGCTTAAACCGCGCTGTAGTGGAAATGCGCCATTAGAGTTGTTTTGCCTCTTAGCCTATAATGTACAATGTCTTGGAGCGCTGGCCAATTAAAGTGTGATTGTACATAATGATTTCTCCATGTTATGGAAGAAAATAAAGGATTTCAATGGATGCGTTTCAGGCAGGGGGGAACTTTGGAATGTTAGCCTTTGCAGACCATTTACATGCACAAAAACCTACACAACACACCCCAAAAGCATAATAGGGCACCTTTAAGATATATAATCAGTGATGATATATTATCAGTATATAATCTGTACAGTACCTTCTGCATGATCTCCATCTCCTCAGGGCTCAGGTCTCGGTCTATCGATGAGATGCTCTCCATGCTGTTCTTACGGACGATGCCGGTGGCAAATGGGTTGGCAATAATGCCGGGAGACGCCTGGATATAGACACAAACAAGATGGTTGTTTAAAGTTTCTTTCCAAAATTAAAACAGATTGGGTAATTTTAGGAAAAAGTACATATGATCAACATTGCTGGCAATTTGTCTAACTGCTCATGTTGTCTCACCTCCACGCCCGTCATTTTTTGTGGGTCGAATCCGTCACACATCAGCATGACCAGAGAGTCTCCTACAGCCCGGAGCACTCGCACCGCCTCTGTGTGCGTCATCCCCAGCAGGCTGTGGTTGTTCACCTCCAGGATACGCATCCCAACCTTCAGTCTGCTGTCTCTTGCTGCAGCACCGCTCGAACTCACCTGTTTAATATCAACCAAAGGAGAAGTTAGTCGAAACTACATTTTTTATTTAATGTTATCTTAAACACAACTCTAAAAACGTCGTCCTTAATAATAACGTTGTCATAAAAGCTAATACTACTTTTAAATGAGTGCCAATTCTCCCAGCATTGATTGAGCGCAATTTATTGGGATTTTACTTTTAATAAAATGGACTATTTTACAAATCTGTTGCTATCCAACCAATATGGCTTTTGCAGCTAATGCTTAAAACAAAACACTCTTTGGGATTCCTTCAGACATGGTAAAGAAAAAGTATTTTATTATATTAATATAATAATGTTGTTCACATACCTTAGAGATGAAGATGCCTTCATCTGTAGGGTCAAAGGGGTTTCCTGCGTGACCCTTGGCCCCTCCACGAATACTGATGCCGAGCTTCTCCCCTGGCTGCTTATTGATTACAATTTCCTGCAATGATACAGACACAGCTCATCAGGCAAGGTGGAGCGAGCATTTTCCAATATTATTAAGTCTATATTATTACATGTATATTCAGTTGTTTCAGCGGACTCACCTGCATCCCAGGCGGGGAAGGGTCCCTCCGCACCAGCATACGGATCTCCTGCTTGTTGGCCAGCAGCGCTCGCACAGCTTCCTGGTGTGTGGCGTGACGCAGATCGATGGCGTTCACTTCCAAAATTCGGTCCCCAACACGCAGTCCACTTTCACACGCTAGGCCGTTAGGAATCACCTGATAGGATAGATGGAAGGTGAGACACAACATGTATTGAAGGAGATGCAAACAACTTGGAAAAACAACAACTCGCAACTCTTTCAAAGTCCTACCTTTGAGATGAACACCCCGGGTTCATTGATGCCAAACGGGTGACTGGCATGATCACTGCCTCCCACAATGCTTAGGCCTAGTGGCCCGCCTGACTTTAACAGGATCACTTCCTGTTAGGGTGAGAGGTAAAAGACTTGTTTTAGCAAGGCTTTGAGATTATTAAAGAAATCAAGACCAGGTGACAATCATTTCTACATCTAACACAAACAAACCAATCAACTGCCAGAGCTGCAACAACTTGTCCATTGATCGATCCCAAACTAAAATAATCACCAACCATTTTGATAATCGCTTAATGGTCATTCTTTTAAACCAAAAATGGCAAAACAAGTTGTTTTCCGCTTCTCAGATCAGAGGATTTTGTTGTTTTCTCTGTTTAATATTGTATTATAACTGAATATCTTTAGTCATCAGCATTTCCCAACAATTTTCAGATAATTTAAAAATAATTAATCGATTCATCCAGAAAAGAATCGGCAGAGTAAAGAGATAAAGTTGCAGCCCTACCTACTCCAAACCCTTATATGTCATGTCTCTTTACAGGCCAAAGCCATTATTAGGTAAAGAGTAACATATTGGCATTATTGCGAACTGGAAAAGCTACACTCTATAAAAGCAAACCATTATTCATTATTAGCCTTCATACCATGCACCATCTTCTCTGGAACTGGACCGCATTGAGGATATTGCAGGGGCCAGATAAACAAACATTAATGCTGAATGCCTGCAGGAGCTTTCTACAGCTTAGTCTAATACATTAAAAATATATTAAACACACTGAAGTCGCCCCTAGAGGTCTCACCTCGATGGGATACTCGTCCTCCATGCGGCTCAGGTTGTTCCCATGCATGGTGAGGCCGTCCTCCTCCTGGTCCGGTGAGTCTGAGGGTTCTGGGGGTGGAGGGGAGTGGGCTCGTGCCCGGGATTGACCAGGAGAGCCCCCTGGTGCATTCAGGTCTCGCTCCACCACAAGGGCAATGGTGGGGGAGGTGCCGGTAAGGAGTGCTACTGCCTGGTCATGCCTGGCCTCTGTCATGTCTACACCATTGATCTGCATCGACAGTAAAAACCAACCAGGAGGGTGTCAGCCCACCAGGACGCTCCCAATTTAAACAGGCCACAGGGGCCATTGGACGATGAACATTAAGAAAGAAAGACATGCTGAAAATGGCATGCAGCCATCAGTCTTCTCTCATCTCTATCAGAGTGTTTATTCAACATCTAAAAAATTATGATCTGTTAATTGCAGTTTGTGAGTGCACCAAAGTGAGTACTGTTAATAGAAAAATAAGCCAACACCTGTACAGAGCAACAGGAAGAGGCAGAGAAAAGGAGTGAGAGGGGGGAACAGCGGGCTGATGCTGGCCACTTAAGCTGGCAGAGCTTCCCTGATGCAGAAATGCTACTAGCTAAAAAGCTATTATCTCCCCAAAAAGTCATAGAAATTTAATATAATCAGTTAAAATAATTTTCCATCCCTTTTTTGCTTTTCTTACTTAAAACACAAGTCGAAATGTTTCCAAAAAGTTTGATCTTAAGTCAACAAAAGCAAGAAAGGAAATCCGTAGTATAATTAAATGACTAGTTTTGGTTTTAGATTAGGGGGAAGCTTTTAGGCATGCAAATCTTAAAACTATTCTTTGGTCCAAAGTGACACGCAGAGGTCAGCACTGACCCGACAGTACCAGCTCTTACCATCGGCTGATATGCTGCTACATACAGGCTCCGCCAACTCCAACCCAACACCATACCCACCACCAAGCAGGCAAGGATGTGCACGTTATACATTAGTGAGCATGCAGATGTGAGAACGAGAGAAAAGAGGAAGCCTACAAATAGATTGAAATATAAAAGAGCTGAGAAACTGCCAGAGGGAAGAAGAGAGTTAACCCGGGAAGAGAGCAAAGGGGATAATTCAGGAAGCTTTGCTGAGATTCTCGAAGCAGAATGTGCATTAACGAAACAGTAATGAGCAGGAGCAGTCTAACATTTGCCACACTTGGAAAAGGAACCGCTAAACAAAATCTTCTCAGTAGTAATGTGGGTGTGACAGGACGAACACATGCAATACGAAAGTTACCATTATGCTGGCAGAAAAAGCCAAGATTGGAGTGTGATCAGCAGAGGGAACAGTAGAGCATTGAGAGGTCATGCGGTAAGCCCTTAGTAGTGACAATTCTGCATCACTTCAACCAAAAGAGATCCATTATTTCTATCTAAAGAGAGACCTGGGTCAGAATTAGTAGAATGAGAGTTAATTCTGTGCATGTGGTAATACAAGTAAGTCTGACTATCATTAATATGACAAGACATAGTTTGAGGGATGAGAGCATTGTTGCGGGCACATTCAAAATGTAAATTATAAAACACCTCGCATTGATGACATACATGATTTGTTTCTTTGACATTATGCAAGATTGGATAAAAACTGCAAAACTGAGAAAAATGGCCGAGATCTAGATCAACAAAGAGAACATCGTCAGCCAATGCTCTTGATTAACATTAATCTTGTCAATTTATTAAAATACTATGTATTTAATTTCAAGCTATTCTTAAATCCCAACTGGAGACAAAGAAATAAAACTATTCCCTTTCTCACATCTGAAAACATTTTAGCGCTAATGCTAATTTGATAACGCCCAGAGGGAGGTGTGGGGGCGATGAGTAGTACTCACGGAGATCACTCTGTCACCGACACGCAGTGTGCTGTCTCTGTTCGCTGCTCCCCCTTCTGCGATCCGAGAGATGTAGATTGCCTGAAACATTGTCAAATGTTAACATGTTTATGTACATTTGCTCATACATTACTCAAATGGATGTGCCATTTCTGCAAACGGTTTTTTCAAGAGACATTGTGAATCTTTTGCATCTTTCTCCTAATTATAAAAAAAACAGGCATGTGTGTCAGGGACAGGCTGGTGGTAAGGGGGTCTGGTGCAACAGGCTGCAATGCTGCGATGACTCAGTGTGCTAACTGAGAGCTGTCTGAGTTACCGGTTAGTCACTGTGTGGTATCACGATTGATCTGAGGCCAACATAGAACTTTCTATACAAAGTGAGCCAGTGGTAATTGATAAAGGGATTCTAAGATAGTAGCAGCCCACAATGGCACACATCAAACCCATATATACATGACAACAGCAGCCTCTGATCACTAAGACACAACAGGACTCCACAGCACAGGCAGCACAAATCACGACCTCTGTGACATATTGGCCGCTTTCTCAGGCAAAGTTGTTTAGCAAATAAAAACATAGCTGAATCAAAGCAGAATGTAGAAACACATGCAGGAGCAAAGTCTACAGCACCTCCTCCTCAGATTAACCAACAGCCAACAGCAAAGTCACTGCATCCATTTCAAAAAGCTTTTGAAAGTGAGGCAAGACTTACAGACCTGCCTAAACGTTTATGAGTCTTTTCCTCTTTCCGGGCTCGCTGAGCTGCATGAGTAGCAATGCCGTTCTGCTCTGGCCCAAATATACACCTCAGCCCGTCCAGTTAGAGTGGACTATCAGGTGTCAGGGCGGGCTATTCATATCTCCGTCTCCCTGGTGATGTCTGTAAACGGTGCAGCTAGAATAGACAGATCCCTGAGACTGTTACTGTAAACACTTAGTGACCTTACTTATTAGCGTTTGTATGAGAGATTAGCTTTAGATCATTTCTGTATCACTTTTGCCAGGGCCTTTTCAATGTATGTTAAAGGGTTGGGATGATTCATTAAGGGCTGCAACTGACCTTTATGTACATAACCAAATCATCTATCACACATCATGCGTGAAAAATAAATCATCAAGTTTGACAAATTGGAACCTGCAAATATTTTAGGATATAAAAATATAATTTTAGAAGATGTTCTACACATTCTTTATAAAACGTTACGTCTAGGTTTAGTCAGAGTGTGGTTGGGGTGTGTTGGCATGTCTCACTGTGTCTGCTGTGCGGTAGGGGGTGGAGCCTTTGCCCCCTGCGATGCTGAAGCCCAGCCCCTTGTCGTTTCGCAGCAAGCAGGTGGAGAGCCGCTCCTGTGGCCCCTTGGGAGCCGTCTCTATGTTGAAGGCGATGCCACTGCTCCGTCTCTCGCGGGGGAAATAGTCGTCTTCCGGCCTCAGTGGCGTGGTGGTGATGGCGTTCTCCGGCTCCACCATATGCTCCCGCAGCACAGACATGGAAACTGAAGCACCAGAGCTCCGAAGAGCTTCAACCGCCGTGTGATGTTCTGCTTCGTGGAGGTCCACTCCATTCACCTGCGACGAGCAGAGGGAGGGAGTGACTGACTGGTAATGACTGGTATTATTATTATTATTATTATTATTAATGCTGTTCAATGAAAAAGGGTACCATAAAACAGAGGAAGGTGCTGCGTTAACAGAACGGGGTTTACCTCTAGGAGTTTGTCTCCCACTTTTACCCCTGCTCTTGCGGCGGGGCCATCTTCAGATACTCTGGAGATGAAAATTCCCTAAAAACACAAACAGAAGATAATTTATTTGTATAATCTTTGGCTTCTGTTTCTTTTAAACTACTCAGACTCCAGACACACATCTTACCTCATCATCTCCCTTGTAAGGTGTAGATCCTTTCCCTCCAGCAATGCTGATACCGAGGCCGCCAGTCTGTCGCATGATGATCAGCGAGTGCTGCAAGTTGAGGAGGGGGGAGTCAGCACAACTACTAATGAAACCCTCTGAACACCACTCAGCTCAGGACGGATTGAGAGGGAGGAGGGCCCACCATTTTGTTATTTTACAAACAACGACAAAAAAGAGATGATCTTAAACTGTGATATAAATGATGGGAGACCTCCCTCTTTCTGCCAGAGGGTGGTGTCAGTGTAATCACAGCAGCATCCTCTCACTCATGCTCATAGATGGATGGAGAGACACTTTGACTTGTCTTGAGCCTAAAGTCAGTTTTAAGTGGAAGTCGGACTTTTGTGCCTTTTAATTGAGCTTGAAATGACCTTTTTAGTTAGTATGCTTGCCTTTGTATGTGTACTTAAAACAGCATGGTCAAAAATAATTTGTTTTCAACCATTATCCACTTAACTGACAGTTGACTTCAGACAAAGCAAACACACTTGTCTAAAGACCTCTTCAATTTAACTCACAGAGGCTTGACCCTTACTAAAAGCATACAATGTGTCTTGTGTATGTACGGGAGGAGGGCCTTTGAACACCAGGTAAGGCGTAAAACTGTGTATATATATACTGTGTAATTGCAAGCCATGCAAAAAGGGGAGGGATTGCAAACAAATGAGGGACAGGTGGAAGGAAAAAGGAGAAATAAAAGGTGAAAGGAGTATGTGGTGTCCTGGCTGTGAAGACGGTTTTACACTTGTAGTGTGGATACCCGTGCATTTTTTGTAATGAGATGACAAACATTTCTTAAGCAAACAAATCAGACATAAATACAATAGTCTAACAAATACTGGCAGAGACCACTTTCATAAAATACTAAATACCACTTTAAGTTTGAGTAAAAGTTTTCTTCTCCATCAACGAGTATTCATATAAAACACTAGAAACAAAATCATGCTAAAAAAAGAAACATATTGTGTACAAAGATTACCAATGAAGCTTTGGATTTTTCTACAATTGAACCCCAAAATCATTTTCAAATACTCTCTTTTCTGAAGTGTTTTTTTATCCATCTCGATTGTTTTGGTGTGATGTTTTTTTGTGTGCTTTAAACGCTAATACAGCTGACATCAGGAAACACTAGGCAAGGCAACACACACCAAAACAAATAAATAGTAGCAGCAAGTGACAGAAAAACATTGTTTGATTTTGGGGTTAACTGTCCCTTTAAGTCATGACAGCATAACATCTATACAGGTTAACAATTTGAAAATGAGACTGCTGGGAAGTGATCGTCATCCTTCTTCATCAGTCTTGAGATCCTCTTCTGGTCGTTGATGAGTAACCTACTTTGTACCAAACAGAAGCACCTGGAGGAAGCTGGTGAAGCAGCCCATTCATTCCAGGGCAACACAGCGTGGACAGGGGAGGAAAGGGTGCAAAGCAGCAGGAGCAGGAGAAAGGTGGAGGAACAGAGATGGAGCGTGGCAGGACCTGGTGCTGGACTCATATTCATTCTTCTGTGTCAACGGTCAAAGTTTGAGCTATTTTGAGTATTCCAAGTATTGAAGGAAAAGTTGATTAATGACAAATGTCTAAAATGTATAAACCTGAATGTAGAACCTGAGGAAGACGTCACAGCTGTGGGCAGCCAGGGGATTCATAATGATTGGAAAAACATGGATTCCAACACGTCGACTTTGTCAAAGGTGGTTGATTCTACATGATATGCAATGAAGTGGATATTACCAACAGTCATTTCATCACATATTCTGCTGATACTCAGAGTTCTCTACTTGATATTTACTTAGCATTGTTTATTCTGTCAATGTCCTTGCAAAGCCCAAAGATTAAACACGATCATTCTGTTTCACTAACAGCCTTTCCCGCAGGCCCCAGTATGCAGGGCTTTAAGGTTAACCCTTTCCTGTACGAACTTAAGACAAATGGAGACTAGCTTTAATAAAATTTTACTGTTAGTAGCCATTTCACTTTAGTATTTATTGACATTTTGTCCTGTGACTCCTAAAAGGATACACCACACTTCCTACAGATGCACAAATTATGTTCCAAAGGCAAAACATATAAAAAGGTGATTATATTAATTATAAAATAACACCTCTTCTGACCTTTCGTGGTAGATCTTATGTTTAGTGTTTTGGTCTTCAGAGATGAAAAAAAAAGGTCTGAGGCTTCACTCAAACTTTTGAAAGACAGAAGCATATTTTACAATAGTCACATAATGAGTCCTAATTGAAAGAGATACAGTTGGTCATTAATATAAATAAAAGAGAAGTGCATGCTCAAATAGTATTAACTGAAGCTGATTGGATGCATGGATAGAACTGAACAATGTGTTAATGTCTGGAAACATAGTGTAATCTCCCAGGATGCACTGAAACACAGCAATGTGAATCTTCATTGCAAGCTTACTCTCATGGCTACTAGTCTCCTGCATCCAGGTTCTGCCACACATCTCATGAATGAGTTGTGGTTAGAGGGTCCCAGTGATTGGCTTGGGTTAACCCTGTGGATTCTGTGGGGACTTTCTCCACCTCGGGATACAGGTGAGTGGGTGAGTGAGGGACACAGAGAAACAGAGTGGATGGGAAAGAGTATGTACAGACCTCTTCCTCCTCAATTCGAGCAGGTTCAATCAGCAGATTATTGACTTGATCAAATTTCACCCCCTGTTAGGACAGGAACCAGCGAGAGGCATGCGGATTAGTCAGGCCAAAATAAAAATATGCTCACACACACACATACTAAAAAAATTAAAATCCCTTTCTCACACTCTCCATAAACTTCACCAAACACACCCAACACTCCACTGTCTGCTTGCAGGTTGTAGAACCTTCAATCCACTGGGATGGACCCCCTTAGAGCAGAAGCAATGTCACATTCACCCCCCAGCCACCAGAAGCAAATACAGGCAGAGATGGAAAGACAAGACCAAGGAGCTGAGCTACAGGGCAGAGAGAGCGGACAGGAGAAAGCAAAAGCTCCCATACCAGAATAAGCTCAGCCTCCACACCACAGAAAGCAAATTCCTCCAGGGGCAAGCTTTGATTTAGACAAAAAGCCTACTTTGTACAAACAAAAGCTTACAGTTACAGTACATTTACAGCTTGCAAATAACCCAAGATATCTACAAGCTGACTTTACAAAAGTAATTCATAGAAAAATATATATTTGATTAAATGAATTTGATTCAGAAGAATGATGAAGAATCGTACTGTCTATAACAATTCAAACATCCCATAAATGATTATTACCATATTACACAAACAAGGATCGTTGGATCTCACATTCCAGCTCTGCCAATACATGTTCTGGTTGGTCTGAGGTCAGCCACACAAACACACATCCCCAAACACACACACAAAACAGATTTGGTAAGATGATGATGTTCGATCACAGCGCTTAAAAGGATTTCTACAATCAGCACGAAAAATCAAAACATTTTTCATTAAGACCCAAAATAGTGTTGATCGATAAGGAGATTACGTTTCATAAGCGGCACCGACGCAGACTTCATTCACACTTACAAACACACACGCTGTTATAAGAGCAGAGTTTGAAATGTCATTATTGAATTAAAACAGGAGACGGCTGATAATTGACTGAGAAGTTCAGTACTAGACTGGGCCAGTGTTGGGGAAGAAAAGCCTGCAGAGGCTTGTGTGGAAGGAATGTTATCATTACAATAAAAGTCTATGTGTTATCTGAATTCTGCAAAAACAAAGCTATTTCATGTGAAAGCACAGAGTGAATTTCTCAAATGTGTCCCTAAGTATGAGACTAGACAATAATGTTTTGTTTTGGTTGTTTATGTGTCAAAATAGTCCTAAATGATGTGAGGTATTGGAAGGCATTATCAGCAATGACCTCTGGGTGTTTGTAGGCGTTTGGTGAAGGACGGAAAGTATAGTTCGGAGACTGTTGCAGAGTTTGTGGTTAAACCAGAAACTCCACTCCTGAGAAACACATTACCCTTGATTTACAGCATAGGGTAGTCGCTTCATTTGCACAATGGCCCTGCATGCAATGCCACATCCTTAATAAATACTGGCAGCTCACTCCAAACTGAATGCAACTTGCAAGGTGGTAAGGGCACTCTATGCATACAGTATTAAGTGTGTGCATAGATGCAATGAGCAAGCAAAACATATATTCAATTTAAATACATGAATAGAAATGACTTCCTGTTCTGCACTATTCCTTATCCATAGACTACATTTTTACACATGTGCATAAATGTTTGTAGGGAAATAAAAAAATGTGCTATCGTATTCCTCCCACCTATTCTCCATATTCCTGAAATACACCCTAAGAGTGGTGGGATCACCCCTTTACCTTTACTAGACTGGAGTTGACCTGGAGCCGACTGTCTTCCAGCGCCTCCATCCTGGGAAGGTGCTGAGGGGTGCACATACCCTGGTCTTCCTCGTCCTCGTCCTCCTCCTCCTCCTCTTCCTCCTCTTCCTCTGCGGGCTTTGTGGGAGAGTTCATGCTCTCGGGGTTGAAGCCCTGCAGCAGGGCAGCCACAGTCTCAGGTTTGGGCAGCTTGGTGATCTTGAAGTGCTTCTTGTAGTGCGGCGTGTCCTTTCTGATCAGACGCTGCTTCTCTGCGGGAAACACAGGCCTCTCTTCCTCGTCACTCCTCTCTCCATCTTCCCTGTTCTCCTCGTCGTCGTCATCCAAACCCCGGATGATGGGCTCTTCTGCAAAGTGCACAGTGGGCTGGAGAAAAGAGAAGATTGAGATTGAATTTGTTTAGAAGATGACATGTAACTAAATGTTGTATCATTTTGTAAATATTCACCTCAATGTACTCCACTTCCATCTCGTCCAGCTCGTCATCATAATGAGGGGCGTGGCCATCTACAAAGTCCTCCCTCTGCGACGTCACATTCTGCCTCTCCTCATGGGAGGTGGCCGACAGCGTGCTATTGGACACCTGAGAGTCATGGCTCTGATTGGAGAGGTCACTGAGCCGTTTCTCCTAAATCAAAAAGTTTGATTCATCAGAATATTGTACAAAAGTCATGATGCCTTGTGCCTACTTCCTACAGCAGCAGGTCATGATGCCTTGTGCCTACTTCCTACAGCAGCAGGTCATGATGCCTTGTGTCTACTTCCTACAGCAGCAGGCAATTTGTCACAAAATAAGATTAGGGCAAGAAAATAACAAATCTCTAAATAATAACTGTCAGAATAGACACAATAATCAATATACAGTATGTGGTATGTACCTGTGAATCAGGAGACTCTTCATCCCTGGATGTGTAAGCTTCATTCCTCCTCTCCTCAATCACCTTCTTCATCACCTTCAGCTCATTGGGGTGCGGTGTAGCTCTTCGCTGAAGACCCTGACACAAAGTTGGTAACAACAACTTTAGTGAATCATAATGTTAAACCAGTCAAGGAAAATGTCAGATGACTTTGTGACAGTAAAGATTTATTAATTTGGACTTTATGTCACACTTGAAGCATTATAGTTTTCAATCAAGATCTCAATCAAATGCCAACAGAGATGTAGTATTAAGGCTGATACTATACTGATTACTATAATAACTAGAAAGTAGGGATGCACCCAATATTCGGCCACCGAAAATCATCGGCCGAAAAATGGTTAAAAAGGCCCTTTCGGCCGAATGTCAGAGAACAGGGTTACGTTGATCATACTCCGCATATTTGTCCGGGTGTTTTGATTTCAAGTGGTGGAGTAATCCCGAAGTGGTGAAAGTCTTTGCAGTTACACCCCTTCGAGAAATGTCAGCT